AGTCGCAAGTCGCCTCGGAATTGGTGTCCATCAGCCTGGTTTTGAATGAGTATTCTCCAGCCGCTGCTGCGATTGCAAAGGCAAGCCGTCTGCTTGACGGCCACTTGGCTTTGACTCGCCTGAAGCTGCGCCCACAACGGAATGAATTCAGAAGATGAGGAAGGGGTAGGTACCCGGAAGGGGTTGGGCCCCCCCCACTCCAGCTGCATCCCCCTGCCAGCCCACCTGGCAGCACCTCGGTTCCCCTGAAGCTGCATTCATAGTTGGGGCCCGCTTCACTCCTGTTCGCTCATTTATACTCATTATACTGCTGTTGAAGTTGCTTCAAGTACTGTAAAGCGCTGATGAACTACCTGTGCGCGCTTGGCCGAGCATAACGGGATTCAGGAAGGCTGGATGTTGGCCTCACAGAAGCTGTCCTGGCCTTACGCGCTGTTTCTGACGGCTTTGACCGGAAAGATTGATCAGCTTGCGGTTTATGATGAATTTATGGATGGCTTATACAGGCTCAGGGGAACGTTCATTATGATTTTTGAGTCTATGCATTTTGGTGGTTTATGAGGATGAGGATTTTCTGACGGCTGCTTGACACCAATGGCCCTCACCGTTGCAGCTCAATTTCTCCCGATTTGAGCCCTCCGGCACCCGCTCGAGCATGGAAATTTGTTTGGCGGGGCCCAGATCAGCTGTTTTCACTCAGCAAGGGTGCTGATGATGCTTTTGCACGTGGGCCAGGTTCCACACGTCGTGTTTTTTCAAGACCTTGTTTTGGGAGGGCCCTGAGATTGTTTGTCGGAGGTCCTTTGGACAAGCCAGGGCTATGGCACACAGCAGAAACCCCGGGGCGCTGTCCGCTTTTGTAAAGGGACCCGTAAACCATCAGAAAATTGCATTTATGGAAATTTCAGGGGCCATGAAGCAGTCGGTCGCTGGCGAGGCGCGGAAGCACAGAGCTGCAGCACCAAGTTTACACATTGAGAAATGGGATCCTCCTGAAATACCTGAAGCCACTGACAGCTCATCTATCGAGGAATAGGGCGATGAGGCGGAGCACAAGATGGGGTTCAGGCTGCCAGTGCTGCACCTAACGGCGCAACAAGCCAAGCTGAAAAGCACAAGGAGCTTGTGTACTCGTTGTACTGCAGGTTGGGATCATGACCCAGGCTGCTCGCCTTCTCCTTTAACAGGTCGTTTCAGCTTTACGAGGTGAACTACATGGTACCAGCACGTGTTTGCACTACCTGCGCCACTCCACTTCTCAGAAGCTCAAAAAAACGCAGATGTGGACACTTCTGGCCAGTTCTTCTCTTGCATTAAGCTACATCCATGATGCACTGACCTGAAAATTGCTCGAAGCCTCACACAAGTACCCTGCCTGGGCTGTAAACGCTATGCATTGCTATCTGTCGACTCCAGTGCAATCGAATCTCAAGCCCCGCGCCCGCAACCTGCTGAGACCGGACTGGAAGTGTCTAGCAGCAGGCAGGTGTATCAACCGCGAACAAGCATTAGCAAGATGATATCATACTTCTGTTGCTTGGACGCATGCGCTCGAAATCTGAAGAAGAGCGTGTCCTGAAGGCCTGTTGCCCCGACTCCGAACCTTGTCCCCTTGCTGGCCTCAGGGGGACTTTTGCCGTTTGCGGCCGCCTCGGCAGTTGTTATCAGAACATAGAACGCTACTGCCCTCCGGCCGCTGTCATTCCGCTTTGCCTGCCGCAGATCCTTGGTGCTTGTCCTGTACTGTCCTCTTGCTGCTGTGACTGTTCTGCTGTAGCCGTTAGCCGCCATGGAATGATGCAAGCCTTCTCTTGATAGAACCTCATCCGTTCAATGTCAAAATGGCAACTTCCGACAACGTTTAAAAGCATGACGATGCAGCTCGAAAAGAGTGGTGTGGCCTCTGGCGCAGCCTCCGCGGGTGCAGCAGAATCTGCGCTTGGCGGCCCAGTTGCTGGAGCTGTGGCCTGATAGGGTATCACCACCCAAGAGCAACCTTCACCATACCATTCCTGCTTGGAGGCGAACCAAAACACCAAGAAAATCCAAGACGTGTGAGACCAAAAACCTTCACGCCACAACTGCAAGCTTTAGTATGCTCGCCATGAGACATGTGAACTGCCAGATCCTGCAGCAGCGGCTGTGTGAATTGCTTCGGCCTGCGGGGCCTGCGGCTCGACAACGTCCAGAGAGTATGGGAGGACCTGTTTCACAACAGGGCTTGGCCGGGCTTGGCGGCCATGAAGCAACGCGAGCATGAATGATCTTTAAAAACCTTCAGCTCTGGTTTTTCTCCTAGGCCGCTGCGACCCATGTGATTAGCCGTGCTTGACTCCCACACGTACCGTCCTAAAAAAGCTGCGAGCAACCGGCAGCCTTCACATCAACATCCAGGTCATCCGAGGTGAACTCAGTCAGGCAGGCATCTAAGGACTTTTGGAGGGACCCCTTATAGGGACCCTTGTAACAAATGGTATGGGGACTACCTAGGGATATAGGGGGTTATATAAATACCTAGAAGGCAGCATCCCAGGAGCTGGACTCACCAAAACATACTGCGGCTGAATTGCAAAGTCTGCCGCTCGAGCCTTCCTTGGCACAATGTCAAGTTTCTCTTGAAAACCGTTTGCAAAAATGCCACGGCAGCTAGCAGCTAGACTTGTTTCAATTCTTGCTGGGCATCAAGTACTTCTCTGATGTCACATGCCTGCAGATTTCCTTCTCTGGACCATGGCATGGGAGAAAGATGCTTTCCACGTATGCAGGGTGACTTCTTTGCAATGCCCGCATCAGGTGGCGTTTGCACCCAAGCGTCTGATTGTTCGCGATGGCCTGGCACGCGTGTTCGCAGGAGTTCCACACTGGATCTAAGATTCGGTGCGGATGGCTAGGTATGTAGACGCCTAGGGTACCCATAGCACTAAATGGCAAACAGAATTTCAAGCACCACCCAGCATCAACAACCCTAAACCTTCTCTCCAATGCTCCTTTCCCGAGACTGCACGGCCTTGTGGTCAAGCGCTAAAAGCCGCTCCAACAGTAGAGTTATCCGCGCGCGGAGCCGGCAGTTGAAGGAGCCTTTCTGGGATTCTGCAAACATAGCTTCAATTTGGTGCTCTTTGATCCTTCGTCAGTCGTACATCCATTTTGCCTTTGTCGTTTGTCGCTGCACCCACAACTGTTGATTACCACTTCCAGTCCAGGAGGCGACTGTTCCAGCCTGCGGAGCTGGATAAAACCCCGCATTAAATCCTTTACAAACCTTCAACCTTATCGGTTTTTCTACCCCTTATAGTTTTAGAGTGCGTGGGGTTTCGATTAACCTTCTCGCTTCTTCTTACTCCTTATCGTTTTACAGATCAAACGCTATCTCGGGACACTCTTGACATAACCTACAGAAGCGGGTTATTGTACAACCCCGCGTGGGAATTCATGACATCTCCTGCTTGCTTGTTGTCTGTAAGACTGAGGTAAACCACGGCTTTTGCAAGTCTGACAGTCAAGGGGGTATAGCTTGGATCCTGCCAGATCACTTCATCCTTATGAGGGTTCAGCGCAGCATACTTTTTGCAGGCTGCTTTGAACCCGTGTACTTCGTCTGCAGTGCTTGGTAGCCGTGAAGAGCAAGCACTCTCCCTCTGCCTGTCTCTCTTACCAAACCCTCAACTGCTTCACTAAGGCTGCGGCCTGTTAGACGAGAGCTGAGTTGCTTCAGCAGCGAGGTCATCGTCCTCAGCAACACGCTCCGCCGAGACATCCCAATTTTGTGTCTGAGTGGAGCTGTGTTCGCATCAGACGCTGGCATGCGAGATGGGACTTACTGTAGGTGCCATCTTCAGCCCCGTCAATCATTATCGGGTCCAGAATGCAACCAGCCAGGCATCAGGAGCTGGCTTAGTGGGTTTGTTTCTGTTTCCGCGCTGTGTCCCATTTTCTGGGTGGGAGAAGGATATCCTCACCATGGCTGAAGCCTCCTCGCCAAGAGACAGGAAGAGATGACCATTTGGCGAGACGCCCAGCTGCGAGATCAGCTTCTTTCCTGACGATTGTGCTAGTTTTCCAACAATAGAAACCACGGGAAGCATAAGATCAAAAGTTCTAAACGGAAAGCGCTTGGCAGCCTATTCATCATACTCAATGCCTGACAAACCTGAGCCGGCTGAATCTGCAAGATACGGAGCCTTGAAAACCCAATCCCAGTGGACTAACATACGCTGCCGGACTCGTGGAAGAGGGCGCTTTTGGGGCAGAATTGCAGCAGACCTCCAAATACGCATGCCGCCTGGCCATTCAGCAAGGCTCTGCCCAGGCCCTTACTTCTAAAGGCCTCTAACTCCTTCAGGACACTCACTATATTCGGACTATAATCTCCGCCTCGGACAGAAAACGACGAAGATCCACAAAGGATTAGGTCCTAGAGCCTGTGTGAAATGACAGGTTCCACTCCCTACCGTGATTCTCGCTGCCGTTTGCCCCACAACGCCTACACTGTAAGAGACGTTGGAACCTACCTGGAGCTGCCTGCAGTTGGAAGCCCCAACCCGAAAATTGTGGAACGCAGTCAAGATTCTGTCTTCTAATCGTTTGGTTTCTCTTTCCTTGGCTTCTTTCGCTGCCTCAGCGACATTTAGGGCTGTGTGCGCATGGGTTCTTGCAAGGCTCTTCTCTTGCAGGCAGAGCTGGTCAGGACCTCATCTGGAGTCGTAGATGCTACAAGTACCAGGTTCCGCGCAGGAATGAGAAACAAGCCAGCCTACCCAGCATACCTAACTCAAGCCGTTCTGGAAAATGGTGGGTCCTTGGGAATCACAATGTTTACAGCTTATGGCATCTCCCTGACAAGCAGGTCACATACCCTGCTACGTGTTTCACGCCCCTGGATTTCTGGGAGATTCAAAAGCTCCGTGAAGCTGATAGCCCCTGCTCCTCCCCTTTCAAAGCTTCGCAAAAGCCATCAGTTTTTGCAGTGACTCTCGCAAAGCCCAGGGAAGACGAAGAGCCGTCCGCTCTGGTTTGTTGTTGTCGGCTGCATCCTTGGCAGCCTTCATCTCTGCCTGTTGCGTGTGGAGTGGAGAGTTCAGAGGCCCCACCCCAGACTTAGGGACGAGCACAGGTCAAATGAAGTCCTCCCTTAACTGAAAGGCTTCCATGAACATTGGCAAGGTCGTTGGCATTCAATTGTGCCATTGTGCCATTACGTGGCCTACGGCTTCAAGGTCAATGGCCTTCTCGCCTCTATGTAACTGCCACAGCGGTATTGGAGGATTCTGGCGCCGCGGCGTTTTGATAGTCTACTTGTGATGCTGCGCCTGATTGACATCATATGTCATGTTTGGTCGCTCAGAGCCAGCATAGAATACTAGCTGCTGTTTAGGTCGATTTTGAGAAGCATTGGCATGTTAATGATTCATTCGTTGATTCATGCAGGCTATGGCTGGACTCAGGGCCAACCGCTACCATACCCCCAAATCCCAAAACTCGCAGATGCCAACTTCCCAAAGGCCGGAAGCTCGACTGGTTTATCCTGCTGTTCTTGCGTTTGCCAAGCACCCTCCACCCAAACAACTCGTGACTGTCAAGCGATCAGATCGAGGCCTCCTGCTTGGCATCGAACTCCTTGAGGCGCTGCCTTGCAAGGTCCCAGCAAGCCTGGCAAGCCCCCTCATGCTGCATGAGGGATTTGGGGTTTACAACCTGTTCTCGGGCACCTGTACATCTTTCATGCTTACTATCAGCCTTAAAGAAAGAGGGAGAGAGAGAGAGAGAGGCAGGGGAGAGAGAGTGGAAGGTGAGAACAGCTGTTTAAGAGCGAGTTGGACTCCAGCAATCTAACATAAAGAAAGAGATTGAGTTGCAGGATTGAAGGAGGTAATACTGTTGCTGGACAAACACTCGGTGAAGGACCTCAAAAGACTCCGGAGCCATGTGCCAGCTACGGAGCTAGGGGGAGAGCACGACGAAACAGCATTACAGCATTCTGAAGATCTCCAACTCCTGTATCCCTGGCACTCCACAAACTTGTTATTGTCCAACTGACTTGAAGAAGCAGCGAAGCCCCGTATCTTTCCGTCTCCCGCGTCTAAGACTTCAAATCTGGCATAAGTGATGAAATGGCCCAAGCTTTTGTTGGTAAGACCAAGAACGCTGAATCCAACCTCCTCGGGCCTTGCGTAGCTTCAAGAGGCTTTTGTCGAAAACATCTGTTAACTCTGCGAGCTGCCTCAGCTTCCGGTAGCTACCCAAAGCTTCTCTTTCCTTATTTTCCTTACCAAAGCCTGATTCGACACGGTTTGGGACCGGCCCTTCCACTGGTGACAGAAGTGCTGAGAGTGAAGGCCGATCTTTGCATGCACTTCTGGAGAAGCAGATCCAGATCCGCCTGAGATTCCTATAAACCGCAACTTGGAAGCAAATCCTTGCACCGAAACCAGCGCCTTCCAAATTGAGCAAAGATCCTGGCAACCCTCTAGATGCCCAGAGTCACCCAATGGCCACCAATTTTGTCGTCTCTTCCGCTATCTGCATGAAAGTCATCCACCAGGATTTGCACCTGCTCAAGCAAACATAAAATCTGTTCTGGGCATGGACCTAAACATAGAGCCCTTCCAACGCATAACGGATCAAAAAGCAGCCCTGGATGTCAGCAGCGCCTGTCTGTCTCGGCAGCCGAGACATCCGGTGCTGCTGAGTTCTCAAAGAGCGCCGCGACGACGTCCGCAGCAATCTCTAAGGCTCTCGGGACTTCAGCCTGGAGATGCGGGGCGAGGGGACTTCGAGACCCTGCTGACAAGAGGGTCCTAGAAAAACAAATTGCATGGATGTCTGACTGCTTGTCATGCTTGCGGCATGCCTCCGTGGTATTCGACATTGTTCAATAAATCGGCTCGTTGCAAGAGGCACCACTTATCTGCGCAAGTTCCTCGCAGGTTAATTGAGGTTTGACTGTTCAAGCCAGACTACTTCCATGGAAAAAGCCTGGCCTGAAACCTTTCCATCCACGCCCTGCCAAGAAACAGAATGCCACCCGCTCACGAGAAGAAAAGGTTCGTCTTGTGAAACCCTGGTCTAGAGTCTTTGGGTTTTGGCACCCCGGATGGAAGCCCAAGCAAGCCAGGACAACCTAGCTCATGAAGGACCCTCGGGCTTGTTCAGATTATAATATGAGCTATAGTCTTAACTGCTAGCGCCTTAATGATTCCTGTTGTCGGAGCCCTGCCTCCCGCCCCCTGGCTTGAACCGGGTCGGGGTGTGGCTCCAGGCGCTTCAGCACAGCTGCCTGGAGTCTGGTGAAGCCTACGTGGAGTAATCAAACCATACCGAAGAGCGCCTTGGGCTGCCTCTACTTTTCGGCTCCAATCAATACCTTTTTCACTGCCGATGATCTTCCAGGCGGGCTTGTTCAGGGAATCTGGGGAATGCTTGGTAGCAAGGTTTTGCTGTATACGGCCTAGGAAGGGACAGGAAGGGCCTCCCTAGCTGGGTAGACCTGGCTCAACCGCTGCACGCAGTCACAGCTTTGAAAATGTTAAGCTACCGCCAACGCCTAAATGCATCTTCAAAGCAAAGCCTGACCATTTGCACTTGCGTAGCATGTAACTGACCGTCTGCATTTTTTCCGTATGGAACAAGAGTCTGCTAGGCATCACAAAAAAAGCCTTACAGACAGGCCGGCCTGACTGACGCTCCAGCCCTACAGCCTTTCTCTTCATAACCATTCAAACTCAAATCTGAAAAAAAAAACGACCAGACGGTCCTGCATGGCATACTCGAAGTCTTCGATGCCAGGCTTTGCATCCTGCATGGCCCCCTCATGATCACCTCCCTCACAAATTTGGCGAACAGACCAATCTCTTTTCTTGCCGTTAAGCCACTATGAACCCTTTTTAGGCATCCCTATCTGCGACAGCACCCGCAGCATCAATTGTTTTGGGATTGACTGCTTCTGGGGGGTTTTCAAAAGTTTGGTGATTTGTCAAATGTTTGGCCCCTTTGCGATTTTGGGTGCCCTAAACGTTAGGGATCATGTTATAGCACGGGGCATTGGAGATGCGAGCCCTGGGACTGAAGATTTCTCACGAGCTGGCTTGCGTTGCCTTGGTCTCAGGAGCATTAGCTGCATGCAGCTTTGGATTTGGTAGTGGAGAATCGCAAGAGGCAGGAAAGAAGAAATTCACGCATAGAGGAATACACAGTCAGAATGCCTACAGCAGATGACAACTTACCTTCTACGCATCCTGACAAACAAAGCCTGACAACCAAAGAACGGACTTTAGCAAAGAAGTACATCCTAAAGCCCACATCGTTTCCACCCGAATGCGTGACCGGATATGCAGGGTGCGCGCAAACATATTGGGCCGTGGGGTTTATCGACATTTACATTTTGGTTAATTGCAAAATCGAAAGCAACTTTGAGCATGAGGGGGATATATTACCTCTACGGAGAGGGTCCTGAAAATAGTCAAGCTTTTTGAGAACCCTAACTTTAGGCGCGAATTCCAAAATCCGGATCCTTCATCTCAAGTATTCTCAAGTTGTATATCTGCCAAAACAGCACGGAAGCCCACCCAAAGGAAACCTTACGAAGACGTGTTTCCTTCTGTAGAGGATCCCATATTTTGAGTTCCATCTTACTTTGGGGAGGGGTCTCTCAACCCTGATATGCTGAACCCTGCATAACTCAGCTGCTGCTGTTTGCTGCTGCAACATGCTGCAACGATTTTCACAATTCCCCTCGCCCCTCCCCCCAACATACGATTAAGTAATGTTGCTGCAGGCTCTGCTGCGGCTGCGTTTGGTGGTGGAGGTACACAAGAAGCACCAAAAAGCAACATGGACCAGTAGGGCCGCACGTGGAACTAAACAGCCTACACTTGTACCAGCCAAACTTTTGATCCTTGATACTATACAACAATCTTTGGGTGACTATAGAGGGACTATATACTCCTATCATATAATTAGCCCTCTTTGGGATTACTCCCAAACCCTACACGACCAGTTCCACTGGCCCACAGTGGTGTGAGCTATAGTCTAAACACCTAGTATCCCCCTTAATCACCCCTATAATACTTCCTTATAATTATAATCCGCATTAAGCCACAAGATAACCCCCTTACTCATGTAGTGATGCGTCTGGCATCCTTTCCCCAATGGGAGAGGACACCTTAATTTGTGTCTGTCACCTCCACAGTAAGTGGGCCGCCAGGGATGCCAAGCACGGCTAGCAGCTCCTGGAAGCAACATTTCCTGTTGGTAAGTAACACCCAAACATTCAGGTGCTCTACCACACCGGGGGACAGCAGCTACTGGGATGTTCTAAGTGGCTCGAACCTAGATAATTGCAAGCACAGCCAAGCTGTGCCAACAGGAAACGGGAAGCCAACTTCAAACAGCAAAGCACTCCTCGCCAAGGGCAAAACATTTCTTTCAACCCGGGAACATATTATTCACCCCGTCACCCCCCTTCAAATTTTTTCGCCCCGGAACATCTTTTTCCACCCCTTAACCGCTCATTCCGACCCCCGAAACCTTCTCTTTCGACCCCGGTCTGAACCGAGCGCTTTGGGAACTTATGCTGGTTGGATCCTTTACGTGGTATGCACCCGGCAGCTGGCGGCGGCGGCGGTAGTGGTTGTGGCGGCGGCGGCGGCGGTGGTGGTGCTGGCGGTGGTGCTGGTGGTGGTGGCGGGTGGTGGCGGCGGTGGTGGTGGTGGCGGCGGTGCTTCTGCCTTCCAAAACAATCATGAGAGGACGTTGCTGCGCAGGAACTGCCAGCAAATCCAACTCTTCTGGTCTTCTCTCCAACGGGCGCTCAGTGACTGAAGTCGATTTTGAAACTCAAATACTGAAAGCGACTCAAGCAGCGTGAGCTTGCGCAGCAATCAGAACAAGGGAGCAGGCACTGCGACCATCACACCAGAGAAGTCGCGCAGTAGCACTGCTTCGTTTGCAGACAACCTGCGGACGCAAACTTTTTTTCTGCACCAAGCTGTCACAGGGCGCCGTCACACTGTCCAGGACTTGCGCCGTTGCACACGATAGTTGAAAGCAGCGGTCGGTGCCGCCGCCTTGATCAGAAGCCTTGACATGTGCTAGCGGCTGCGTCTTCATTTGCGAGACTTCCTCTTCTGCCTTTTCGCATTTGGGGCATTTGCTCGTTATCTGCCTTGCGCTTCCGTCCGGGTGTCCGAACTACAGGAATGTTGCGCGCGTCTACGTTGCCCTCACCTTCGACGGCCTTGCGACGTGTTCACAATCGCTGCGCAGCATGAACTCTGGACACGCGCGCACTATTGATGGAAGGGCTGCCTGCAATCTACGCCTGAGGCGCGGCCCGCAGGAATCTGGCAGATGCCCTTCATGCTTGTTTAGGCAGAAGTGCAGCGCTGGCAGATCCAGAGACTCCAGTCCATTCTCCGATTTTGGAGTTGGTCCCTCAAGGCCGCGCCATCCTTGGCGATGAGGCCAACCACTGTCTGCGCTGTCTCCTTTGTGATGGTGGCCTGCGCTGGCAGCACATCCCCTGTTTGTGAACAGCGCATGACATAGAAGACGGCTGCGCCATCCTTTCCGGAGGCGTTCGTGGTCGTTGCATCTGTTCACCAGTGCATCTTGTAGTAGTTGCACTGGCCGCAGAGCTTGGGCCCTCGCTCCGTCCGTGCAGACGTCTACGGCCGGAGACCGCCCAGCTGTGCGCAGAGCCTGTCCATGTAGAAGCTCTTGCGCTGGGTACTGAGGCCACGTCTGGAAGCCGCAGGACTCCGCCCAGCGGAACTTCTGCGCCCAGTCCTCGTGAAACAGTCTCTCCACGTGGGCAAAAATTGCCCGCGGCTCAGAGCGGAGGAGTCGGAAGAAGCTGTTCGTGGTCGAAAAATGTGGTGACCCGGGGTGGAAAGAGTAAGAACAAGGGGGTCAGAAAAGCGGGTATAGCCGGAGTTGAATGGACGGTTAAGCAGTCTGGAGTCTGCCGGGGTCAGAAAGATAAGTTAGGGGTTCGGAAAAATTGGAGGGGTATGATATGCTAGGGGGTTGAAAAAATATGGCGCCCACTGCCAAATGACTGAGAAAATAATTCAAGATTCTTTGAACATGCGCGGGCAGATGTATCCATATGTTTCTGAGTCCTCTCCCAGCCTCTTCATCAGCCTGAGAACATGATGAATCGATGAACGTTAAACCAGTACTCAGCCCTAATCCTCCCCCCGTACGCACTTAACAACGTTCAAATCAACGTGACCCGCCATCAAGACCTGGCTCCTCTCGGGTCTCCGGCGAGTTCCTGAGAGCTCATTTGGACAGAAGTTTCGCTGGTTGCATCACGAAGCAATGTGCGGGCTGGCATAGGGCTCCGTCACTTGCGACACAAGTTTTCAGTAGACTCCTTGTGCAAATAAGGACACTTCAAACATCAGAGCATGTTCGGAAACTGTTCTGTCATCAGACTACTAAATACCCAAACGAGCCATTGCCAGCTACCGGAAAGGCTGCAAAACGCGAACATGTCGGAAAAGCGTACATCTAATCAACAAGTCCTTGCAACTTCAAATTAAAGGTTTCGCACGATTCGGGATCTGATTCGTGGCTTCGTCAAACAACTTTGAGACTCCGCAGCATGCGCAGCTTAACCTTTCTCGGACGCAACCCTGTTTGTGTCTGGCATGGCCATCGAGCAAGGTGCAATGTCAAAGCACCTTCAGTCGAAACTCTCCACCCTTGCTCTTCTTTGCCATCGATGGCATGCCATCGATGGCACATCTACGTAACGTGCGCAGACACCACCATGGATCTACTTGGAAGCATCTGCCCTCAAGAAGGCAGCCGCAACCAGTCCATCAATGCTCACAGATCCCCGACCGGGGCCTGGAGTCTCCATGATTTTTTTGCTTGCCATGATCGGTTCTCGCATATTCCAGACAGCCATTGCAAAGACCATGCCGAGTTGTTGACATACTGGTTTTGTGTACTAGAAAAACCTTTCTGGGAGCCCCGGCTGCTTGATGGCCGCATCCAACTTTTCCATAATGGCAGGAGCATGGGCCCAAAGCTCCACCGCACGGTCATCCATGGCCGCAGCTTCCGCTCTATTGGTGAATCGGCTATGTAATGAGCACTTCAGAATGAATGTGAGGCTTTTTTGTCAGTGGCGGCTGTGGCCAGGAGGACAGTTCCTCCAGCTGGAGTGTCTGGTTTCGGCCTACGTTGTTGATGCAGCTCCTCTGTTGTTGGCCCAGCCTTCGGGAAAAAATACTGCCTAGGCGATGGTGTGGGTGTGTGTATGCAGTAGTACGAAGGGCCAGGGGGCATGGTTCCTCGCCCTTCGCAAGTAAAACCTCACAGGTTGCAAGCCTTCCGACGTGTTTTTGGGGTTCTCTGTCGCAGGGTTGCTAGCTGCCTTTTCTGGACAATTCTTGACATGACTTGCCATGCGGTCATGCCAAAAGACCGCCTGAAACTTTTCCTCACCCGAGTCAGCCGCCTCCTGTCCGTTCAGCATGGTCCATGGTCCAGATGGCAGCGGGGCGCAGCGGCGCTATGGTCAATCATGCCGGGACCACCACTGGGGGAGCCCCACCAAAAGGACCCTAATCCAGCCTACAAGTCGCCCCAATGGACCTCACCAAACTCCACCAAGGTAAAGCCCAAAGAACCGCGGCTTGCTCCTTACGCTGAACACATCACTGAACCCAAGCCTCATCCGTAAAGACTTGTCCTCACCACTCTCACCCCGGCACCCTAACAGTGCCAAAGCATGCCATGTGTTGGACCTTCTGCCGCTCGTCAGCAGTCGTCCAGTCCATCTTGGCACCCTTAGTGTAGACACCTGAACGGTAGCCAAAAGCTGCTTATCAAATCTTCACTGGCAGGCTCTTCGGAGTCTAGCTGAGCCGATTTGCGAAAGATCCTCTGCCTTACCCATACGTGGAAATCTCGTTTAGGTGCTTCTACAGATGATGGGCCAGCTGTATAAAAGAAAATGGAACCTACAATAGTATATATTGGGTTATATAGGGACAACGAAAAAAATAGAAGCCAATATTACCATGATTATTATTGTCACGTTTATTACTATTACTATTATTTTCATCGTTGCTATTGTTCTTGAGGCTTTACCAGGGGCTGTCTTGTCTACGGCATTGGTACTAGCCTGTGTACAACCAATATGGCTCAAGAAAACATCCCAGTAGGGTTTCTATAGGAGTTCTATAGAGGTTCTGCAGGGGTTATATAAAGGCTATATAACATGGTGGTTCTATAGGGGTTGCCTGCATCGAGCAAGGATTTACTTGTGCAGCGACAGCTTGCGGGACGTCATACATGACCAGCTTCCAAAGTTCAGCTTGCTTTGGGGAGCTCTCTTGTGCTCATTTCCTCAGATGGACCTAGCTTTTGTAGTCGCCATACTGTTGATGGACAAAATCCAGCAGGACCCAAGAGAGACAGCGAAGATACCAAGGATCATCAAGAATTATGTTCACCAATGAATCAACCGTATGGGGGTTTCCAAGATTTGGGGCCCCTGGTGGCGGGTACTTGTACTGGGGATTGTACTAAGTCTGGGAAAATACCTCTACACTCCCAGTTTCTATTTTGGGGGGTTATTCACCAGAACCCTACACAATCCTTAAATGCACAAGCTACAGGTACCCTACATAATCCCTACATCAGCCTTGTATATCCCTGGATAGCTCTGTATGGGCCCTGGACTAAAATTATAGTATAGTCCTTAAAGGTCCCCTAAAGCCCTGTATACATCCCCTGTAGGGCCGCCCAACCTGATGTTCGTCCCTAGCCCTATAAACTCTCAGAAGCATTCAGGACACCTTTGAGTGCGAGCCCTGCTCTGGTCGAAGGCGTCGTATCTTCCAGCAAACCTGGATTCTTGTGACAGCTGAGGAGATGATATGAGGATGGAAGGCTTTCTTTTCAACCTAACCCCTTTTCACCTTTTCTGCGCAAGCGATTCGCTAGGGGAGCATCTATATCTCTAGGGTTTAGGCTCAGGGGATTAAATGCGGATGTATGGGGAGTTACTCTTGAGGTATGGGGGGGTTCCGAAAATCATCGGCCCCTCTTTGCGGGGATCCTTACGGTGGACTTCACTACATGTCTTGCGGATGTAGGGTCAATGTAAAGGAGGAAGGAGTCTGTCTTGCACTACGCCACGTGGAACAGATCCCAGCTTTTCTATCGCTTTTAGAACGCAGGTGGGTTGCAGAGTGAACAACGTCCTGAGCAAGTCGCCAGAACAAATTTCTGGCAAGATCTATGCCATTTATTCCCATGTGCCATTGCACAAAACGATGAAGGCACTCAGGAATGGCGTGGAGCTTCTTTTGAGTTAGGAAGTGCCGCAAAATGTGTTTGTGCTTCTCTCACTCCCACTGCAACAATTTCAAAACTTTTACTGCATAGTCTGCGCCCATGCTGTTGTAAAGGGGCCTCAGTATCCTGAACTGAAGGCCAACCAAGGACTTGCAATCAGAATCTATGCAACACTTGCCGTCAAGCAGCGAGCATGCTTCGCGTAGTTGACAGGCCTTTGCAAAGCATGCTACTCCAACAAAAGGATGCTCTCTCTGGCCTGCAACCACGCCACAGGCCGTAGCCAACAAGCTCCTCGATGATCCGCACGGCGTGAGGCCATTCCTCAGCTCTGCTTCCTTTCCAAGGCATGACCAAAAAGCTAGTGCTTCGTTGACCTGGGTCCAGTACCATTGGTACCATGCTCCCTGGCTCTAGGCGTGATTTCAATGTCACAGTAAATCGAGACGGGCTACTTTCAGCGAAGCAGGAGAAGGAGAGTGGTACAGCATCGCAGCGAGCCCAGGCCAACCAAACAAACGGCATGGGGTAACGGAAGGGGTCCCGCGGGGACGACAAAAGGGACAATAGGACTCTTGCGGAACATGCACAAAAATGTCCGTCGCAGTCTGCAGCCTGCCTTTCAATCAGCCTTTGAATTAAGTTGCAAGCGTCTGCATTGTAGACAGCAGCGTCCACCAGCAGGTGGTACACCTCACTCGCTGAAAGCATCAAACAAGAAGCGTTGCACTCCGCACCAATGGGTTTCTGACAGCCTTCCAAAGACTTGTTGTTTCACGGCTGCCCCCCAGCCCCACGAATCCCTGAGTCTGAATACAACGCCTCAGAACCTTGGGCAACTCCGTGATTTTGTTTGCGGCGGGTTTCCCGGGGTGCCTTCAACCCCAATCTGAAGCAAAGCTTACGCGCTAAATACCAAACTCAAGAAATGAAGCCTTCAACCCCCCCCACCCTTCAATAGAGCTTGCTCCACTCGAACCCAATACTAAACACGTGAGATGCCCCAATGCATCCTGCCAAGGCACCATGAATCCCGCTTAGGGTTCTGAGCGTTTTAAACCTAAACCCCAAGTAAGCTCGACGAAGCGTCCTTGCCTTGGTCCACGTCTGCGTCTGATTCAGCTCCGATTGCGCAGCCTCCCTCGCCTGGGATTGGGGGTTAACTCTTTCGGCCCTTGCATGACTCTGACTGCATTGCAAGGTTCTAATCCTGCAAAGTCTCAAAAAAAAGGCAGCTGACAAGTGGGGTTACAATCAACCATCCACCCAGCGCGCCCACTATATCGAAGGTCAAACCCACTCAGGATTGGAGGCCTGCAGGCAGCAGCACTCTCCACGCACCACAAAGTCAAATGGAAAAGAAATGGGAAATGACAGGGAACTAGGGTTTTATACCGGAATATAGTGATGAGGGTTTCCATGAACCAGGTGATAGTAGTACTTTTGTCTTCTTTTTCAAAACCCCAGTAGACTACCACAAGCCCAGCCCCCTTTTCACCGCCCTCCCACCGACACTCGACGCCCCATCAAAGAGGCAATACCCCCTAGGCCTAAAGAGTCCCTCAATGATCCGTATACATCCTTATACATGTCTTGATACCCTGCAGAATTCGGTATGCTACCTTTTTTGTTGAATTATGGACCTAGGTCTGAAGATGGAGCGTCCTCATGATGGGGGCTCTTAAATTACTGTTGACGCTCGGATCCTGAGTGCAGTGGAGGTCTTTGCTTTCAGCCGCACTTCTTGGCCGATCGACAAGGGCACTCGGAGGATGACAGGGCGGTTACATGGAGAAAGCAAGGGGATCGTATCGGGCCGTGAATAAATCGATGACTCGAGAAAGAGCACGGGCTCGGGGCACAACGATATCAGGTCGACCTTATACGCAAGATCCAAAAGATTCAAGGAGGTCGGATTACTGAGAAAAATGCCACGACATACGCAATTGCTCTGACAAACAACTTCGTGTGCCCCTATTGAATCCTATTGATAATCTCACGTGCAAGTTGGGGCCCTCCAGAATACTAGAACACATGAGCGTACTTCTCAGTAAGAATTTGAAGTATGTAGATGGACTTCAAAATGTTTCATGTCGAGCCTGGCAAGTTGCGCCCAAACTCCACGGCACGCGCTTGATCATGAGCTTCTGAAGTGAAGAATGTTCTCTTGTCGTTTCGTCGCGGGTGGTTGCCCCTAAGCCGTTGACTTTGGACTCCATATGATTCCATCAAATGCCAAGTCGCAGCGTCCGTGACATCAGGATCCTGCACAAGCATGCCATCCAGCATCCGTACCCCTGGAGAAAAAAATCACCTTTCCCTCCAAAAACCTCTTATAGACTGCCAGCACTTCCCAGGGCGCCAAAAGTTCCTGAATCTTTTCAGCCCTCTCCAGGGCCTCCTCAAAAAAAGTGAACCACCAAATCCTCCAAAACCCGCCTGCAACTGCAACGAAGAAGCAAGAAAGCCAGCAGGCTCTCAACCGAAGCCAAGACAGTTTGAATACTCTCGAAGTTGCCATATTACGGCTTCGGGATGCCTTCAATATAGTAGCGCAAGGAAGGACTCTGGCGTAAGGATGGCAGGTGATAGCATGAAGAAGCAGCATCGGCCGCTGAGCCGGTTGCCCATGCCTGCTGGATTCTGACGAGGCCGCGTCGCAGATCAGCGACCTTCGCCGAAACATACAGCTTGCTGGGCTGCATAGGGATGTCATCATGTTAAGACTCATGAATCATTGGC